CCGAGGTGTCGCTGCCCTGGGAAATCTCCCCGCGCCGGCAGCCTTCGCCATCGGCGGGACCTCATTTCCTCCCGCGCCGTCTTTGAACTACCCCCAAGCAACGCGCCCAGAGAAGTGTGAAGCTTTATAAAAATTTAAACGCGTCCGTGGTGGAGGCAGGAGTGGGGCGGAGCCGCGGCCTGGCCGTTCTGTGATGAGCTGGTGAGAAAGACTTGGAGAAGGGAAATGTGTTGCTCAGTTTTCACGTCTCCCAACCAGGTACAGAGCCCACGCAGCGAAAGTGACCCTCCTGGCGTTGTTCTTAGAGAAGTGTTAAGGCGATTTATTGTGATCGTGTGGCTGACACGTGCATTCTGTTAAAACTCTTTTTGAAGGGGCTGTGGTTGGAAATGCGGGTATTCTTAGACGCTTATTCCAAAAGCTAGCAAGCTGTAAAGGACCTGGCATTTTCACTGGCGTGTTTATAAATTTTACAGGGTTGCTGAAAAATATTGTAACTTGTGTCACTAATCAGCGATGCTAATTAGCATTCTCCCTCCCGTAGGTGGGTTGTTTGATTACACAGCTCCTTAGGCTCTTTAAGTGAGATGGCAGAAACTGGCTGAATCCAAAGACATAATTAGCCATTTTATATAACCACTAATTAGAGTTTTTAGAGTCGAATTAAATCTGTGATAAAGTTGGGGTTTTGGTTTGTGGGGGGAAATTTTTATTCTAAAGTTCAAAGAAGTAGCACGCTTCCCTATCCATAAGCTGCTAGCGTTTCCATACGTTGGCCCCTCTCTGATATGATGGGTGAACACACCTCGGGTGAAATTTTCACTGTCACTGTGTGTAACTTGGCAGTGTGACTTGGTTGCAACTTAATTTGTAAGTCAAATGGGAGAAGAATTTTGAGAGTTGGGTATTTGTAAGGACTGTGTGCCAAGCAGTACATTTTTATCACTGAGCAATAGGATGAAAGCATAAAGGAAATTTTAAAACGTTTCCTTACCCAGCAACAATTCCATGTCACCTTTGTGTTGAGGGAGGAAAGTATTCTCTCCTTTGTCCCCCTGATACAGAATCACATGCCCTGTTTGTTTCCCTAGACTTCAGCTGCCGTTTGGACCCTAACCACATTGGATTTTAATTGAAGCCCTCCATCTTTGGGCTGTGGGCTCCTTCAGAAAGGGAACCTTTTCAGATTCATTTATTTCTTTTGAGCTCCTCACAGTGTTTAGCACACTGGACCTGTGAGTAGGAGTTGAAATTGCAAAAATTTCTGTGAGGTTATATGTGATTTGAAACAGTTTGTGATTGTTGCCTACCCTCTTCTGTGTAAATAAATGATTCTGGTAATTGCTATATTGTTGTAAATTTACCAGAGGTTCAACAATGAGACTCAAAATTCAAGCCCTGTTGAGCACTTACCAGGTGTTCAACCTTGGCTTCCTTAACTCAGCCATGATATTAATATTTTATTTTCCTTAAGGGCTTGCTCTGGGGAGTAAGTGATATATTACGTGTAAATGACTTACTCTTACGCGTAGAAAGCACTTTATAACTAACTGTAAGCTGTTACAGTGTTACTGCTATCATCTCTCTGAAAAGTGAACCATCTGTGGCCAGGTGTCTCGCATGTTTGCAGCAGGTGATTTGGGCATATGCGTTGCAGTTTCCATACGTTGAGCAGGATGAGGTGGCTTGTGGCTGGGCTGTGTCTGCGGCCAGCTTGAGCTTGCTGAAGCCTGAAGAACAGGTGCCTGTGTGTTCCGCTTTGGTCTCTGTCCACCTGTGTCCTCTGGAGGACTTATTAGACAGCAGTCACTGGCCTATGGGATTCACTGAGAAGGTAGTATTCATGCAGTCTGTTGGCCTGAAGCTTAAAACTCTGACAGGGGACAAGGGATTGGCCTGAAAACAAATATTCACATTAGCCATTCATAGCTCAGCAGAAATCTATATCCAGCGTCCAGAAGTGTTTTATTTATGTTTTAGATGTAACTAATGACACAAGCCAACGATGTGATTCTGGGAAAGTGAGTTGAAGTCAGTGTCAAGACAGGTAAAATGAGGTTGACATTTTCTTTCCTTTTAGATAGTGGCCCCAAATCCTTGATTTGTAGGTGCTCTGATACTATGAAAGGATCACTGGAATTGTCATCAGTGCCACAAGACCTGTAAACTCTTGAATCACTGACCTGGATGATGCATTCTGGTTACAGACCACAAGTTTGGCAAAATGTTTTGTAGGCCTTATTATAATTTTCCGCACCCTTCCTCTCAACCCTGTACATCTCCAAATAAACTCGCACGATGTTCTCTACTCTCTCTGATGTTCATTTCCAAACTCAGGAATGATAAGATGGAGGCCCGCAAAGACTGAATTGAATGGAAATTAATTTTTCAGTTAACAGAAATTATTAGAAATGGAGTAATGTAGACCAAAACAGTACGCGCAGTGGAATGACAGTTATGGGTCAATCATGTGAGTTACAAAGATAGTCTTCCTAACTGAAGGCCTTTCACTTTATTGAATTACTGTAAAATGGTTGACAGATATAAATGCTTATTTAACCATGTGCTAGGCCGTGTTCTAAATGATTTGTATGGATTATTTTATTTAATACCCACCAAAATCTTAAAAGGTGGTAAAATGTAGTTCTGTTACTACAGTAAGGAACCCGAGGTACGGAGAATTTAACTAACTTTCTCTGAGGCCATGCGGCTGATAAGTTAGTGAGGTTTAACTCCATACACATACTTCTTCCTCCCTAGGAGAAAATCTGACTCTAAGCAAAATTATCTACATTGTCCTTTTCCCCTGAGTGCTATACAGTTAAAAGGGGGTACTTGAAGAAGAATCTTAGCTTCAAGATATAGTATAAATGACAAGTCATAGAGTTATCCCTTTAGACCTCTATATATAGTAAAAATCAAATATACAGAGTACATGTACACACAAGTGAAAATACCTCCTCTGCAGAGAGGGTGGAGAAGCTCTTTAAAGCCAGTGTGTGTCCCTGCACCCCCTGCATGGTAACTTCCTCTCTTCCCAGCCAAGCCCCCTTAATTACTTATAGCTGTAGGCAGAGCTGTTGATGTTTTTATAATTTCCTTTTGGTGACAATTAGCTTATATGTTCGCCACTGTCATTACCATAACCTATCATTTTCCTCCTGTGATTTTCTGAGCACTGTTTTTCTTTTAAGTAGGAGTCAAGTGTATTTTATGTGAGTGAACCTGACTTGAGGGAGAGATTCTAACACCACTGACCTTCATTTTGCTCTCATTAAACCATGGCAAAGGAGGTTCTCAGTAGCATTTTTGCCTGGGAATTCCAGATCTCAAGACACCGTCGCTCAGAGGTACGCAGTGCACCTGTCTCAGCAGTGTGCCCCTGGCCAGTCACGTGAAGGGGTTTGCTGAGCTCCACCTGCTTCCTGAGCTGTAAGCCCTGCCTGTAGCTCTTGAAGTGGACGGTGGGAAAATCAGGATGCCCTTGGCAGGGCTGAAAGAGGCTGACTTCTACGTCGCACACCTGCAGTGTGAACTTCCGCTTAGCGCGCTGTCGTGTGAGCCAGCAGGAGACTTCACTCTGTACATCACTGCAGGACATCTTCCGCGGGGAAGGTGTGCCTTACTGTCCTGACCTCTGCTGCCAAACATTCATTCAGCGAACACTTACTGGATGCCAGTTACCGTATGTTGCAGGAGCTGGGGAAACAGTAATGGAAGTGGCCCCTGTCCTCGTGGAGCTACAGTTTATATAGGAGCCGGACATTAAGCAATCACACAAGCAAGTGTATGACTGAACATTGAGAAAAGAAGAGTGAGGAGTGTTGGGAAGGGCCTGATATATAGGATGCCAGATCAGAAAAGCCTCTTGAAAGAGGCAGTGCTGTATTTACATTGAGGGAAACTGAGCAAAATGAGGTAGCAGTGCCCTGATGCAGGAGGGAGCCTGGCCCCTTAGAGGAACAGGAGCTGAGGCAGAATATTGCAGATCAAATGGAAGATTTTGCATTTTATTCAATGGTCAGAGGGACACAGTGGGAGGAAGGGTTTTAAGCGGAGTGATATCTGCATTGTAATTTAAAAGGCCACTCGCTCTCTTTGCTGCCCATTGTGGGTCAAACGCAGTACAGGCCATGTCAGGGATCAGCTCTAGGCTCCATGTTTTCACCTTCACATGACCCCCGCCCATTCAGGCTGGTGCGGCAGCCCCATCCGCTTATTATACAGGGAAGATGATTCCTGTCCAGTGTTGTCTTTCCTGGTAAGGGGTCTCTTCTGGGCTTGTCGTGAGTTCTGTTAATTCCTCCTGCACATGAGGGAACTGTCTCCTAAGTACATAAAGTCCTTGCAGTGAGAAGCTTCAGGATGTGCTTCTCTGCTGTCTCCACGGGAACTCTTACCTGGTCTCAAACCCTCTTTTAAAATGAGTCCTAGGTTTGATGAGTTTCCCCTTGCTCCTTGATCTCCTGTCAGCTCTTAGGATCGCTGTGGATGAGCATGACACACGTAGTATGATTTAGAAGAAGGGCTCTGTGCAGCCTGCATTACATGGAGACATGGAGGCTTTGCTGCAGGTTAGCCCTGGACCGCTGTGACCTGACAAAGCGGTGGGAGTGCTGTCGTCTGGAGACAGGCGGAGCTTGGTGATGCTGGGACCTGTGGGGTGAAGGGGAAGGGGAGAGTGAAGACAGCACAGGGTGGGGCTCACGGCGCAGAATGATGGCGTTGCTGTGGCGGAGGAAATGGGCGAGCCTGGGCCAGCTTGTGAGAAAGCAGCTGTGGAGGGTGATGTTACTCCCGAGTGGAGCAAAGGCCCTCGCTAGCAGCGAGTGGGCATCTGGGCTTTGTTCTTAAGTGAGCATTTGTTGGTTACCTTTCGTGTTCAGAGTGTCATGGGGTTAGAAGAGCCATAGCTGCTGTTCCCAAGGAGTGTATGCTATTGTGAATTCATCGATGGGGGAGAATGGGGCATGTTTTGTGTGCTGAGAGTTAATACGTGATGTGGGGAAAGGGAAGGAAGTGTTAGAGAAGAAGGAGTAGGCGGGTGCCAGCTGCAGAGCTCTGCGAGGACAGGCAGTGTGCCTTTGTCATTGCCGCGCCCCTAGCATTGCTAAGCACGGCCGTGGCCGCTCGAACACAGGTGTGAATGAATGGGTCAGTGAGGCCGTGGGGGTCAGGAGGGCTTGGAAGAGGACAAGGATATCGTTTTTGGACCTGGCTCACAGCACTCTGCCCAACCTAGAGATGTTTCAATGCAGATTTAAGAATGGAAGACTTGACCAGAGAGAGAGAGAGAGAGAGAGAGAGAGAGAGAGAGAGAGAGAATTCATTCATAGCCCTTGGATAAGTGTAGGCAGGAGTTTCGGGAGGGAAACTGGGCAGAGTGGTTGGTAGAGTTAGGAAAACCTTTATCCGGCGGGTACTGGGGACCTGTCATTTCCTTTGAGGGATACGCCTGGCATTGTCTTAATGGCTAAGTTTTCATGAGGGTGAAAAGTGATGACCATTGGCAGAAGGGGAAGAGAGTGAAAGTTGGATTATTTGCTGGAGACGTTGCATTTAATCCTCGCCACCACCTTTGGAAGAGGATATTAAATACCCTCATTCCTCATTTCCCTGGGGGGTGGTGGTGGGAGGTAGAACAGAATCTTAGAGACAGGAGCATGTGCTTCACGGTGTCACAGCTAGGAAGTGAAAAGGCAGGATCAGCTCTGGTTTGCAGGGCTGAGCCCGTTTGCCTCCGAGACACCTCTCACCATTTAGTGACAGATAGCAAGGAGTTGGGGTGGAACAGGGATTCAGGAATTAGGGGTTGAAAGGTGCAAACAAGTCCAGAGGTTATGGAGTCTCCATCATGAGTCTAGAAAAGGGGAGGACGGTTTTCTGGGGGGGGGGAAGAGCCCAACCCTGGAACTTGCAGGTCAACAGAGACCAGGGTCAGGGGCTCCCAGGGAGAGCTGGGTTCACACTGGCTGCTCATCTTGGCTGTTCTTCCTAAAGCTGGTGTCTGCCAGGTATGAAGCCAGTGAGAAAGCAGCAAAGCCCAGGGCAGAGAGGAAGTGCGACGGGAAGGCGCTGAAAGCTCATTGAAATTGCTAGTGAAAATGGATGGGGGGAGGGAGTGAGAAAAGATCAGCCGGCTCTCAGGTCTTTCAGGAACGTGGAGGTCAGCCCAGGAGCCAAAGTAACATTTTAAAAAAACTGCCTGCCTGCATGTTTGACATTTAGTCTTTCCAGTTACCCCTTCAGTATAGGATGTCTTATTTATGGGGTAGGAAACCTGAGGTCAAATCAAGTTCTGACTGCCTAGCTCAAATACACAGCTGGCTAGGAGGTAGTGGACTGCAAGACCAGCCTGGATAGGGTGGTTTTAGGTTGACCCACCAGCGTAAGGTGGGCCCACAGGTGAGCCTCACGCTTGCTGCCCTGCTACTTTCCGAGGTTTTCCATCAATAAGATAAGAGAACTTGGAGCTTGGGAACTGCCAAAGGGCATGGGCATGGCCACCCACTGTCAGCCTGTGGTGGGTGTTGTCACTGTGCTTAGCTCATTAGTCCTGATATTCCCACCCAGGCTTCCTCACGGCTGGCCGTGGACTCTGGGGTGCAGAGGAGGAATGAAACGCTGAGTATGGACTAGGGAGGCTAGCCTTGGGTGGCCAACCTTGGAAGTGAAAGAATGTCACTTCCAGGCTGAAGCAGTGGTCAGGCCAGAGGTGTCCTCGGGGGAATTTGAAATTCTGGGGCCTTGTTGGTGTGTGGTGCCCCAGCCTGCCGGATTCCCCTCAGACTCGGTGCTTGTTGGGGTCTGGGATCCTGGGCCTCCTCTGGGTGAGGCAGGGCTAAGACATTTGCAACTCCTTTGTGTTTTGTTCACACTTATCTCCCTGGGTCTGTTTGCAGTTTAGCTTCTCCGGAGAAGGAACTCTAGTGGGAGGGTTGCAGGGAGACACAGAGCTTTAGATCTGATTTCTAAAAGTAAAGGATTAGCATGTGTGGGAGCTCAGGAATGCACTTGGAAATGTTTCCAATTTATCTTTATTGCAAAGCAGTATCTAATGAAAGTTGGGAAAGGACCCAAGAACCTTGCAGCTAATAAATCACCTGTTTGCATTTTCTGATGTCCCCTTTGAATCCTTGTCCTTACATAAGTTGTTTGATATGAATGTAGGGGTGATTAAATTCAGTGTGTATCTATAATCCAATTTTAAATTCATTCTGTCCTAAATATCTCTATTTCTAATTATCATTTTATATAGATAAATGATTTTTTTGTTAGGTGGATGAGCCATGTTTTCCATACCTATCCCTTCATTTTAGGGTCATTGAGATTGTTTCTAGATTTTTTTATTATTATTATAGACACTTGGGCAATAATTTTCTTAAAGATTTACTTCTCTAAGATAAATTCTTAGGACTTGGATTCTTGGATAAAAAGAGCAAGTCTTTTTTTTTTAGCTTTTGATGATGATCAGATTCCTTACAAGCTACTTCCCTGGGTATTGTTTTATAACCAGCAAACTGTCAGTGAGGGAGCTGAGCACTCCTTCTAAGGTTGCTGGTGCAGAAAGCCACTTAAGGCCCACACTGGCGAGGGCAAGGCCATGCTTAGGAAATGGACCTGTGCCCAGCTCCCTCCTGCTGCCCATCTTCCTGCTGTGATGGGGTTCAGCTTGCTCAGCACTCATCCTGTCTCCCACACACCTGGGAAGCTTGTTCCTGCATGAGAAGAGCATTTACAGGTCAGTGCTTTACCCAAGCTCCCTCATTCCATAATAAAGACCTGGGAGAGGAGGTTGCTGCTTGTGAGAGGCAGCTGCTATCTGCCATGTTAAGACGGGCTTTGAAGACTGAGCTCTCTTTTTTCCCTTTTTCCCAGAATTGTTCCTGCTGATGAGTAGCTCCTCTTCTGATCCGGACTCCTTGAGCCTTTAGAAGCTTAGAAGGTGAAATTGTCTACCTCTAAAGAGAAACAGTGCCTACTCCTTCAAGACGCATCTCTCCATTGCTATGGATACCGAATCCACATACTCTGGGTATTCATACTATTCAGGCCATTCAAAAAAATCTCACAGACAAGGGTATGTAAGCCATTGACTGTTCTGCTTTGCATTTGGGAAATCTGCAGGTCAGTGGGGCTTGCAGAGCTGTTGGTGCTGGCAGTTCCAACCAGGAGTGCCTGAGAAACCTCGCTGTGACAGAGGCTGACAGAGCTTTGGAGTAGCTGCGCTGCCAGTTTACATTTTATAGCCACCATTACACTTGATGACCTTAATTCCTCACAATTAGTTTTAAATTAAAGTTTCCCCCTGCCGCGAAAATGTGTTTTTATTTCCAAGTACTTCTCAGATGTTAGTTCTCCCAAAGCTTTAATGGTAATGTAAAGGAGGGTTAAAAACCAAGTGTTCATTTGCTGCTTTTCACCAAAGCTGCTGACTTATTGTCCGTTATGCATTTGCCGTGAGGTTTACACACAAGCCAGCGTGATTGGCCTGGCGCCTTTCTCCTCTTTGGTCTTCAGGTGAACAGCCTGGGCTTTAGAATCACTGTCCGGGTGATGGGACCAGTTTCCCCATCCTCTGCAGATTGAACAGGTCTCCACTAGTAATGGAAGGGCCTATAGTTACTAACCTGCAGAATGCTTCCTGAGTAGAGGAATGGGTGACAGAAGGAATGAATGATGGCCTGTACCACGTAAGAATGCTGCTGACAAAACTGCAGTGTTGCCACTTAACCTAGATGCCTTATCTGTAAAATGGGTACGGGGAACCCTCCTTATGGGTTATAGAGCTAATCAAATGAGATTACGGATGCAAAGTGTTTAATGAAGGACCTAACAGGAGGTCACCAACCAGTGACTATGTTGATGGCTTACGTGTTTCAGTTTCACATTTCAGCACCAGGTTCAGAGACACCAACCAACCTTCCCCAGCCCTAAGGCCCACCTGTGACCACAGCTCAGTGAGAAAGGTGACTGTAGTGGTGTTTGTTTCCCTTGCTGAGCAGTTCCCCCCATAAGAAGAGCTGGAGGGGAAGATTTTGTTTTGTAAAACCACGATGAGATGTGTCCATCTAATTTGCTTGCTTATTCACGGGCCTGTATGTAAGTGCACACATAGGAAGAAGAGCGGAAGTGGGTTCTCCAAGCTGCCAAGACGAGTCATCTCCAGCGGACAGGCTCTATGGCAGAGTGACCGATGGGACCTGTCATTCATACCTTGCCTCCGTGCTAATCCGACTTTTATAAAGAATGTATTTTGTAATTTTTAAGAAAGTGAATGGAGTAGGAGCATAAAGGAAATTTCATAGGTTATTTGATAAGAGAAAACATGAGCCCCTGTTATTTTAAAAAATGAGATTCAAAGCTTTGTATATTGTAATATCTACCATATATACATATGTGATATTAATGTGTTCACCATGACTGTCTCTGAGTATAGGGATTATGGATATTAATTTGCATTCTTCTCTAAATTTTTATGTATTGCTCTAATCATAAAAAATTATCTCCCTGTGCTGGAGCACTGGTCGGCTTTCCGGTCAGGACAGGAAGTGCAGGACCCCTAGCACTGGTGGGGTTGTGGGGAGTCTGCAGGGGTGGGACGGAACCAGATCCTGAGATAGTCAGAAACACTGTGGTGATAAAACTTCAGTCACAGATTTCAACCATTGGGTGAATTACAGATTAGTTATAAAATACCAGAAACAGCTATTTTAAAATACCAACTCTCAAACCATGGCTAGCAAAAGTGGCTCATTGTCAGCGTGCCAGGCTTCCCTCTGCTAATGCTGCTAGGATTGAAGTAAGAATTTGGGATTCTTCCGTGCCTGGGGTGCATTCGGGAGAGTAGCTTGCAGGCTTCCAAGGAGCAACTCTGAGCTCTTTTGACTACACTCGAATCCTGACTTCCACACTTCAGGGCCCAGTGCTGTTCTCTGCTATTTCCTTGGGCCTCTTGGGGCCCCCAGATATTGATACTCCAGTGTCGTTGTGGGAACTTTAAAAGCCTATCACTGTATTAAAACAACACACAGAACTCTTAGTGCCTCTTGAGTCTTCATGGAAAGTCCTTGGCAAAAGTTAATACAAAACAAGGCTTTCAATCAATTAATCAGGCCATGTTATGAAATGCCTGCTGGAGAGACTCTCTGGGAGCGGTGATGTGTGCATTAGGGACTTGTAGATGCAGTGTATGCCTTCCTCAGAAGCAACGCCACCACCTCTGGTGGTGAAAAGTTCCCCTGAAGGCAAAATAGGGAACAGGTAATCTGCAGGCAGTGGGTGGTGTACAGAGCTTGGGTCGGCATGAAGAATGCTGAACAGTAACCTAACCTGCACTGGCACAGAACAGGCCCTAGACATAGCCAAGGGCACGACTTGTATCCTAGCAGTGCCCCTGGGAGGCTGCTGTCTGCTCAGTGATTTGTTGGAAATTTGAATAGAAGAGAAGGAAAGGGGGAGGGCGACCAACTCCAGCTCAGAGTAGAATAATGAAGTGCGCCAAACTCAGTATGCCTGATGACACCATGATTATCTTGGGTTGGCCAGCTTCCAAGCTGGTGGCAGGCAACTCTTTTCTAACAGTGAGGTTGATGGCCTGGTTTTATGATGCTTGCAGTTTCCAGAGAGTATCCAGCTAACTTGCTGGGAACATGGTGCAGACTTGGGCCGACCTTGCCTAACCTGTGAGTTCAGAGCACAAGTTGACTGGTTTAATGCAGCAGCTGCCAGTGAAGTTAATGACTGTTTTGGGAGTAACCACTGGACCCTTCACAGTCAGTGTCTTCTATCTTCTCAGCAGACCTGGTCCAGTGAGAGGTAGTAGTCTCATTTCACAGGTGAGAGCACCAAGGCATTAGGAGAAGTACTGTTGGCTGAAATTGTAACCTTCATAGGTGCCCTGGGCAGGATTCAGGATCGTTGGCTCATTGGAAAGGAAATGCCACTTTTGAAAGGGACATGAAGGGTAACTACAGTGACTGATGTACTAAAATACATTGACCAAAGAAGTTCAGCCTGGGCAGTGGGGGATTCTCAGGCCACTTCAGGCCCAGGTTGCCCTGTGTCCAGCTCTCCCATCTTAGTGCTGACAGGAAGCCATCGGCCAGGCCCAGCAGTAGGCTGAGAAGGACAGGTAGTGAGTGAGTGGGTGGTGGTGGAGAAGGAAAAGGAGGAGTAACCGGTGGGGCCAGCTTTCCCTAAATAGAAATAGACAAACAACCTGAACCGGACAAAATAATCTTCCCGGGAAGGGCTGATGTAAGCAGGAACAGTGTGGGAATTGTAGGATTCTGGCTGGAATGACGGGGGTACAGTGGCCCCCAAGAGCTCAGATCCAGAATTGCCTACATAGATGTATTTACACAGATGGGTGCATAATATGCAGGTACCTCCTGCGTGCTGCTTCTTGCTCTCCCCACCCTCATGTGTGTGCAAACTCACACACAGATAGGCTTATCTTTGCTCATCTGGTAGTTGGCGCAGGGGGCAGATTGAGAGATAAATCTACATTGATTGCCATGGGTAATATAGCTGCCCAGCAAAGGTCCTGTCGAGCAGGATGGGTAAAATGCACAGAGATGCGCATTCCTGTGTAGACTGTTTAGTCTGGGGGCGTCTGTTTCTAGACACTTAGACACATGGACTGCTTGTCATCATGTCTGGGGAGCTGTCTTCCGGAGGACAGTTGACACCTACAGTGTTCCTTCCAGTGACAGCGTCTGGAGCCACAGGCATGAGCATTTGGGTACATTCTGCCATGAGGTGGCTACACTCTGACTTGTGCTGCAACCTGGAAAGCACTGGGTGGACAGCGTTATTTTGGTTGGGACTTTGAAGTCATGGGTTGACTCAGACCTGCCTAGAGAAGTGACAGAGGAAGGGCAGTTTCTGTTAAAGCCGTCCGGTGGGTCTTGCTGCTTCTCTGACGAGACTAGGATGAGGAGAAGCCCCCAAGGCCTGTGCGGGTGCCGAGGTGACAGGACTTGTTCTGCATTTCCTCTCGTTTTGCACATTTGGAAAGCTCTCAGCCCTTGGCAGCCGCAGTCGTAATCTCACACTGTCCCGCACCCACTCAATACTGTGTTGGTAACGAGTCTCTGTGCTATGCAAGACTGTACAGCTGAACATACACTCATGGCCGCCATTGTTGAGCACCCCTGCTGGGTACAGGCATTTCACACATAGGCGGAATTCCAGTTAGTCATTCCAACAGCTCTGTCCTCCCTTGGAGGGAGCCCTTGGGTGGGAGAGTATTGGGGAAAATGTCCTAGCCCATCTGCATCCTGATCACCTGGGGTTGCTGGTGAGAAATGTAGATTCTTCTTGTCTCCTTTCCAGACAGATCCTTTGAGGGTGGGGCCAAGCAATCTGCCCTAAAATCTGCACCCAGGGTGGTTTTCATCACACTGCGGGTTGAGAAGCACTGGTTTAGGATTTCAGGCTCCGGAGGATGAGAAGCCTTGCTCGGGTTATCAGATAAAGGGTTCTTATCTGGTTTACCTCAGACAGTTGCCAGGGAGCTGGGAGACAGTTGTCCTGCATCTGGTACTTGGGGCTCCTTCAGAGCTGGGCTGGATAGGTTGGGGTGGGAGCTAGGGCTGGTGGGGAGAGTCTGTTCCAGCCCTGGGTAGTTTGCTCTCTGCTTTCTGCCCATAGCGTTCAGGATCCAGGAATTGGCACTCTGTGAACGATTCTGATTTCCGGTGGAATTTGTGCTGTCACAGGATTTGACCTGTGGGACTTGTGAACAGAGAGGTGGGTTGGGTGAGCATGTGACGTGGCTGATGGCCAAGAGAGCGGTAACTGTGGCCACAGCAGGGAAAGTGGAAATGAGGGCCCATGCATCTGGCACCTGTGGGGTTTGGGGGAGCAGCAGTCCCGGCCCTGGTTGGGTGTTCCTTCTGAAGAGCAAGCACCTGGGAAATCGCTCCCGCATCGTATTGTTTCTAATAGTGAATACCCTTGGAGGTGATTTTACTGGGTAACTCAGAATGCTGGGCTCACAGGTTTGTGCTACCCAAGGTCGCAGTCCACGTGGGACTACTACTACTGTAGCAGCCTCCAGAGCCCACGCCATGACTCTGGGAGTATGACAAGCGTCAGTGTGAGGGTAAGCAGAAGAAATATTTCTGCTGTAAATCCTTCTAGTTGTTCTTCCAAACAGCGGGTTTGAAAGTAAGTCATGGTAAGTGATGGCAGCAGGCCTTGGCCTGGGTCTTGGAGAAGTCACCAAAACTGTGTGAGCCTCGGTTTCCTCATCTGTAGAATGGGAACAGTAACACTGGCCCCAAACGGTTATTGTTAGAATTGCGTGGAGCTCAAGTCATGGGGTTAAGTATTTAACAGAGTGCTCTCTACATTGGGGTGATGGTCATTGTTACACGCGTCTCAGGTAAACAACAAAATTTTCTGCTCGACTGCTTCCCTAATTGTATGGTTAAAACAAAACACTCAACTCGCCAAAAACACATCTAGACATGGTATAGATACAGAATTCTTGTCCCAGAAAGATTCCCTGAATCAGTGGCAGCCTTTTGGCTCTCTCTCTCTTTTTCTTTTCCTCACTGAGTTTATTGGTACTTTAAGTATACAGCACAGTTCCATTCATCATTTGGATCTTTTACCTTTATGTGACAGATCATCCAATTCTTATCCTAGGAAGATAGTGGTAAAGTGGACTTTTAACAAGCAACCTGCATGTGACAGGTCTTTGTGGTGGTTTCTTGTCGTTGGTATTGCTGAGTAATAGGTGAGTAGGTTTGTGGGGAGGGAAAGGTTTGATGGTGTATTCTAGGTAACTTACTTTACAAAGTCAGGACACTGTTTCTTTGCCACTGGCTAACAGTGATGACAGTAATCATGGCTACTGTATGGTGCACTTCTCCGCACCCTGGGCTGCATTATCTGTGTGGTGTCATCACTGTCCCCATATCCCACAGGAGGAAACCAAGGTTTCAGAGGTTGAATGACTTGTGCAAGGTTACATAGGTAGCGGTGCACATTCAGATCTCGCTGCTTGTCTGCAAGGTCTGCATTCGTAATCCTGCCTTTCCTGGGAGCAAGAATGAGAGTAAATAGTTGCGGGAAGGAAGGCTAATGGCATCTGGCCCGTGGGCACAGGAGCCTAAGGGAATTTACTGACTGTCCACCACCAAGGGGCTCCTGGATTCACCTTTGGCATCTGGAGGCCAGACTACCAGTTTCCAGAAGTGGTTATTGACCAGGTTGTGACCTGTGGACTTGGCCACAGTGATTGATTAGTATTGTAATCTCCACACTAACCCCTAGCAAGGTGTCACCCTGGAAGACCACCCAGAAAGTTTTTTGGGCTAAAAGTATGCAGCATCCTTAGGAGGCCTGAAAACACACACACACACACACACACACACACACCCTCTTCTCACCTCTTGGTGTCATTTGTCATGGCTTTGTTCAATTTCTATGGGTGTCCTTGAATTCAGCTAGAACCTTTGGGAATGACTTTTAGTTTTGAATTTGTGAGAATGCGAAGCAAATGATTTCTCTGTCCTAGTTTAGAGTTTCCTTTTTTCTTGTCAAAAAGGGTAGGGTGACAGCGTGTCCCAGATTTTTTTGTACAGACCAAAGCTTAGATATTCTGCACTGGTGTCCCAATAAAAAAGTTCTAGAAAATTAGTTTAGGCAAATTACTCAAATCAGCCGAGTGATTATTATATAAAATGTGCCTTAGCCAAGAAACCTAAAATTACAACTTTAAGCTCTGAAGAAAAATCTGATCATTATTGTGGTACAGTGATAGCCTTTGTTTTAGGTCTTGAAATTGCAGAAAGGAAGTAAGTGGAGAGTAAAGATCAGTTTACTCCTTGCAGGGGTGGATGGCTGGGTATCAGTGGAATGTATGTGCACGTGTGTGTATGTGTGTGTGCGTGCTCGTGTGTGTATGTGTAGAGTTTGAAGTGTAGAGTTTTTTTTTAATTCAAAATGAGATTTATATTTTGATGAATTAGAGAGTTAATGTATATGGCATAAGTTCAATAGCTGATGACCATTTAATTTTTTCAGGGAGAGAACTAGAGAGAGACATAAATCGCCCCGGAATAAAGATGGCAGAGGATCAGAAAAATCTGTCACCATTCACGCTCCCACTGGAGAGCCCCTGTTGGCAAATGATTCTTCTAGGACTGAGGAAGTTCAGGTAAGGATCAAAGGCAGTCTGTAAGCACACTGCCACTTGGCCGGGTCTCCTTTCTGTAAATGTTTTTCTAAGGCTTGTTGCAATAGGTTCTCTTGGGTTTTTATCTTTATTTTTCTAGCATGTTAATTAGTTTATCTGTGTCCCGTGGTTTCTTGTTGGTCTAAGAACAGCCTGTCTTGCCAGTATGATTGGTTGGTCTGCTTTGGATGATGTTGAAAAGAAGCCAGTGCGGCTGATGACAGGGCAGGGAAGGGAAAAGTTACAGACTAGAGTCTCCTGAGACTCATTTTGAAATGGAGCAGGGTTAGAGGGGGAAGGAAACTCTCTCTCCAGAAAGCCTAAGTAGAAGGGAAGAGAAGTTAGGACAGCTCACATGTACTGCTAAGTACATGAGATAAACCAGTGATTGGACCCTCTGATGTCTGGGAAGAAAACAAGAGTGAATGAGATAACCTCTTGGCTCAAAAAGAGGGGACAAAAATCTATCAAGCAAGCCTTGGGATTATGAGGGGTCTGTGCAGGACCTCAGTGCAAGGCCAAGGGACAGAGTGAAGGAGCTGTGGCAAATTGGATATGAGTTACCTCTGTCAAGGGAAGCGGCTCCTGTCATCTGGATGCTTCCTGCTACTCAGGATCCTACAATGTTTAAGGAAGACTAGGTGTTAGGATTTTATGTATAACTACCCAATTTCAAAATATTGGCAGTTCATTACTTTTAAAAAAAAATACTGTGTGGGTTCTTCTCTGGGTTTCAACTGCCCGGCATCCTAGCTGGTTTAAATAAATATCTGACCTATACTCCAAAGCATGTTTGCATACCCTCTACACATCCTGAAATAGATGCATGCCCAGCCTTGCCTCACATAAACAAAGCTGTGTTTGCATACACAGCTGTAAAGATAGAGGAATACAGATAAGCATATATCCGTGTGTATCTATAAGTCCACACAAGTACACACTTATAATCAGATAGATGTCTGAAACTGCAGTTTGTCAGAGCATACAAGATGTTCTTGGGACTAAAAACTGCAGATGTGGGAGGAAAAGAAAAAGGTAGGGTTTATGCACTGATGAGCAAAGGCCTTTGATAGTGCTTTACTGCTTGAGTTGGCTCTGGGAGGGTGGGTGGATGACTGGATAGATGGTTGACGGATGGCTGGATAAGTGGGCCTGATCCTAGATTTGAACCACAGTTACATAGTTTAAGAGTTGATTTTCTCCTGGAAGTGGATTCAGAGGTGCTGGTGGCCATCCATGGGGACATTTCTTTCTTTTAACTTCGCTATACATGGTACTTACTAGGAAGCCACTGTTCTTTGCACCAGAATGACGAGGTAGAAAAGGAACTTAGAGCTTGTGTATTTAGAGCTGTTACTGTGGTCACTTACAACCTCTTAGGTTTCTTCACTGGAAATTTAGAGGATTGGATTAGGGGAGCTTAGATCCTTTTTTTTCTATCCTAAAAACCTCAAACTTGAGGGAACCTTTTCCACGTCTGCGCTTTTTTTAAGACACACACGTGCACAGATTCTTAAAGTGGTCAGGGGACTTAGTAATGCTTTGCCAGGAAGAAAGATGAGCAGCTTACACTAGAGGGAAGTGGGTAGGCAACAGGGGACCCACAACGTACCAGTAATAATTTTCCAGCATTGATAAGCAGCTGAAACTAGGCCTATACAAATGTGGAATCCAGTATTTGTCTTCACCAAGAGGGTCACAGAATACATTATTTCTACAGCCTGTGAAATGACCTTTTATTAAAGCAAATTATAGAGTTTTGAATTTGTGTCTTTTCCCCCTGCGGATGTTTTTCTCTTTTAAAAAATTGCTGTAAATATAGAGAAACAAAACGGATCTTAAGTAGACCTTTGATGAACTGTGGCAGAAAAGTTCTCACAACCCACACTCCTCCCCATAAAAATTGCTTCTGGGCTCTTCCTGGTCAGTCCCCGGCCCCATCCCCACCTCTGCCAGGCAGCTGCTGTTTTGATTTCTACCTCTACAGATTAGTTTTGCCTGTTTTAGAATTTAACATAATTGGAATCATGTGATTTTTGCCCTATTCAGCATAATGACTTTGACATTTATCTAAATTTTGTGTGTTTAAGCAATTCATTTTTTAAAGAATTTTTGCTGAATAGTATTCAGGTGTATCAATTTACCACAATTTGTTATCTATTCTGATGATGTAGACATTTGACTTGTACAGTTTTGGCTGTTGTACATAAAGACAGTAAGAACGTTCATTCTTGTACTAGACAAGTCTTCTGTGAACATCTGTTTTCATTAATTTTGGGCAAGACCTGGGAGTGGAATATGCCCACATAGTTAAAGAGTATAGTCAGTCTAGTTTTCAAGAGGTGTTGAACCATCCCATACTTCCAGCAGCGACATCTGGGAGTCCTGGCTGGATCTGGCTGTTGTCAGAAGTATTTCTGTTGCATTAGGTGATCGTTCTAATCTCCCGAACTGAAGGCCTTTTGTTTTTAGGTTGTGATCTTTAACATTACTACCCCTTCTTAACCAAACCCTATTAAAAATTGCACACATCACGGTGGTTTGTTTTTATCATTATTAGATTTGGAGTTACCCAGTGATGAGAGATCTGACTGGCTGATTCGACTGTTAAACTATATTTCTCTAAGTTGATATCCTCATTTCTCCTATTTTGCTACTGTATCTGTTTTTTTCAAAGATAAATTATATCCCTGAATCTCTGGGGCAAACTTCTTTGCATCCACATGACTTTTCTTGCTCTGTTGGGCCCTGGAAAGGAGTCACAGCTGCCGGTGAAACAGCAAAAGTGTTTACAGTTCCTAGCAACTGGATCTTTTTGCATGAATAGATGAATTGCTCTGACTGGCAACTATCTATGAGTTTAAAAACTGAGGGAATACAAGACAGTAAATGTATGTTATCATAATCCTAGTTGTTTGTGTGCCCCTGATGTTTAATTTGTCATGAAAACATAGTTTTGGAAAGAATTTTTGAGCTGTTCTGGCCATAAATAGATTTTGAATTTGCTTAGCTGGGCCAGTAAGAAATGTTGTCAAATTGTGCTGCTTGTGAAGTGACACTTGCAAGCATTATACGTTTAAAAATAATTTGTGTGCTGGTGCCTGTGAGCATGGATTCCTGCAGTGATATAAATTCTCTCTCTGTGCTCTCCACTCGGGTGGGGGTAGTAACGTTCCCTACTTGCAGAATTTGGACTTTGTAAGCCTTTAGTTACTCAGCACGGATTGGGAGAAAACGCAGGGGGTTCTTCAGTAGGTGATCTCTCAGAAGATCAGTCTAGCAACTGGATGGTTTCTCATAAGGCCAACAGCCCCAGGGCTCAGAGCTTCTCGGTACTTTTCAACACGGGATTATAATCAACATTGTTCCAGTGAGTCAGCCAAGCAGATACATAGGTTCAATTATATTTCCTATGTTTGAAAAGGTACACATATAAGACATTTTGAAAGTCTCAATGAAAATTGTTAAAAGTTAAAATTTCTTAGATTAAAAGTTTATTCTGCCCCCATTCTTGACAAAGGCCAGTACATAGAGAGGGGTAATGAGATGGGCGGGTCTTCCACAGTCATCGTGTCTTTCTGTGAATGCCCAGCTTCTTGCTGTTCATTTCCTCTACCCTACAGGATGACAACTGGGGAGAGACCACCACGGCCATCACAGGCACCTCAGAGCACAGCATTTCCCAAGAGGACATTGCCAGGATCAGCAAGGACATGGAGGACAGTGTGGGGCTGGATTGCAAACGCTACTTGGGCCTCACCATCGCCTCGTTCCTTGGACTTCTAGTTTTCCTCACCCCCATTGCCTTCATCCTGTTGCCCCCGATCCTGTGGAGGGAGGAGCTGGAGCCTTGTGGCACAATTTGTGAGGGACTCTTTATTTCTGTGTCGTTCAAACTCCTCATTCTGCTCATCGGGACCTGGGCACTCTTCTTCCGAAAGCAGAGAGCAGACATGCCCCGGGTGTTCGTGTTCCGTGCCGTTTTGTTGGTCCTCATCTTTCTTTTTGTGGTTTCCTATTGGCTGTTTTATGGGGTCCGTATTTTGGACTCACGGGACCGAAATTACCAGGGCATCGTGCAATATGCCGTCTCCCTCGTGGACGCCCTCCTTTTCATCCACTACCTGGCCATCGTCCTGCTGGAGCTCCGGCAGCTGCAGCCCATGTTCACGCTGCAGGTGGTGCGCTCCACTGACGGGGAATCCCGCTTCTACAGCTTGGGCCACATGAGGTAAGGGGGACGTCCCGTCCTGCAGGCAGAAAGGACGACGGGTATCTAGAAGATAGCTGGTCTTCGGCATGGCAGATACAGTGATAGAACTCGAGCCGCTTTTCTCTTTCGGTTTTGGGCTGAACTGTGAAGTGGGGCCCTGTGGGTGGTGAGGTGTCCGGAGCACTGACTCGCTGGCTCTCAGCTGGGTCCAGGTTTGGCTGGGCCTGTTCTCAGGCTAGCGGGACACTCGTCGGTGTCAGTGTGATGTGGAAAGGATGGGTATAGTGGTGGCTGCCTTCCTTGACCCTGAAATGATGGACACGGTGACTGGTAATTTCATTTTGCCCCACACGGCATCTCTGGTTTACCCTGCTATCCTGGTTTGGGGAGTTAGTGAATGAACACCTTACTGATCCACCAGTAAAGAGTTAAGTGTAAGTTAAAGACTAAATGTGAAAAGGTTGAAAGCATAGACAGTAAAAGTTAGAAATCAATCAAGATGTCATAGTTTAAATCAATGCATAAAAGGTAATTATTTTTTAGTTAAAAGAAGGAGAAGTATTGATAGATCTAGTAAGATCTAGTCTTCACAGAACCCTGTGATATAGGCCTTATTTAACCTCAGTGTTACAGTTGAAGAAACTGAGATTTCAGGGATTTAAATAATTTGCTCAAATAATGTCGAGTCTTACTTAGGATTCACTCAGATGTCATGAGGTCAGGGCAGAGTTAACACCCTCATTATGGCCTCTCTCCCTTTGTGTTTAGTAGCTTATTTTTCCATCAGTTTTCTTCTGCAAGTTCTGGATTCCATGAGGACGTGGCTGTGTCTTACTGCTCATGACATCCTCAAGGCCTGGCCTGGAAAGTGGTGTTGGCAATCAGATCATCTTTAGCATGTCTGGCTTCAAAGCTTTTTCTGGGATAAGAGCTCAGGATGTCTGACTTCAAAGTTTCACCCTCTCCCCAGGCTGTTCTGCCTGCTGGGCAATATGTGCTGATGTGTGTAAACTGCCATGGTATGGTGCTAAAGCAGCCAAGATTAGCAAGGGCACCTTAGTGGGCACCAGAACAATTGGCTTTGTCATAGCTTTGGCTGGGCCCAGGAAGGTAGCCAAGCCCCACCCTATAGTTGGGTCACACTGCCAACCCATCATGTTGGCATGCATCCTCTTTTACCCCTCTGGCTGGGCTCATATCACCAAGGACTGGATGCTTTAGAGCTCAAGCCACCTGCCACACTGACTGATCGATCCTCAGAGGGAACTGGTGTCTAATTCACGTGGTCTTTGCAGTAAAATCTAGCATTGTGAGGGCTTTTCAGCTATAGTCAAAGCTTGTTTCCAAACTTCTAGGGTTCACAGTCACTTGGGGGAGAACCCAGAACAGGGTCATACAATAGAGAATTGCTGGAACAGGCCTGGGGACAGATGATTGGCCATAGGACAGGGAATTTAAGACAGCGGCAGCAGTAAATTCCAGCCAGAAGGAGTCTGTTTCAGGACAGGTTTTGCTGAAGTTGAAGCAGTGGAAGAGGTTTCTGGCTGGGTCACAGTGGAGGTGCATAGGATTTGGGACGGTGTCTTAAGTGTGAGTATCTGGAACGCTGGCCCAGGGTGAGATCTGCAGTGCTATTTTTCTTCTGGCCTTCATTCCTAGTTGCTGAATTGCACCTCAAAGGCAAGGGTGGTGTCTTCCTCAGCTTGGCTCAGTCCAGCTGTTAGGACTGACCTCCCCTCCATGGACTCCCACGGTGTTCCTCCCTCTAAGATTGGTTGATCTGATCTGCACACTAGATCTGGGTGGGGGCAGGAAGGCAGCAAGCTAAACAGCCCTAGGAAAGTAGGAAGCCCTGTGTTGGACCACAGAGCTGCTGGTCTGAGGTTGAACTGGGTGGGAGAAACCAGACTGATGATGCCACATAGCTCTCAGGGTTGCCACAGACCTCTTAGTCTGTTCTCATGATGACCAACCAATACTGTGTCTTCACTTTCTAATTGGAAGCCAGTCACCCTGGTCACCAGGAGGATCCAGAGGGTGGCAGATGTCCAGCTGCCCTGGGAGGACAGCATTTTTAGTGGTCCTCGGTCTTCCTTTTGAAGCTTGCCCTTTATAAAGCTCTCTTTGCCCCTCCCGAGGAGGCTTAGATTCTGAGGCAGATGTGGCTGGGGAACGGGAGGTATCTGTCCTTAGAGAGCCCTTGGGGCAGGAGTGGATGGCTCCGAACAGCCAGTCTGCATGAGCTGGAGCAGACAGAGCACCTCCGCCTGGCACTGTTGTGGGCCCAGTCACCTGCTGATCCCTGGGCTAAATCTGGTCCAAACCCAGCAGTGGCTGGAAGAGTCACTGGGCCAGAAATGTAACTTCTAAGACCTTTTGTGAAGTGAAGGGTCAGGAGGGAAGGGGGAATGGGGATGGACAAAGGGAGTCCTGGACCTCATTGTAGCAGGTCTTCTTCATTCAGATCCACAGGCCCTTCCTCTTCCCTTCATGTGAAACCTTTGCTGCCACAAACACCTGCTGTGCTGAGCGCTACAGCAACAGGGAGTTCTTTTTTCCTGGTTTCAAAGATGGTTATATTGAATGGACTTAGCTATTTTTGAGAGTTGTCAAAAGCATGTCTACTCTTTAGTTTCTTAAAGAAAATAGGCTTCTCGTTAGCTCTCACAAAGGGCACTTGCTGTGGCCCTGCTTGCCGGCAAGAGCAGAGATGGAGGCTTATTTGAAAAAAAATTTTAATGTAAAAGGTTATTGTAAAATGTGAGATACCATAAATAGATGAAGGTACTGCCTCACCTTCGCCCAGTACCTGATGAGTTAGAAGGTCCATTCATATGCCTGGTCTTCATATACCCTGCCCCTGGGGTGGGAGCAGATGAGGTGGAGGTGTCCGCCTTTTACAGATGAGGACCTGAGGACAGGGAAAGGGATCTGCTCAAGGTCACAAGGAGGCAGCACCTTTCTGTGTGCACACCCCTGTTCCCTCCTAGCACTCTGGCTTCTCCTTGTGGTTGGTTTCTCATTCTCTGTACACACCCCATTTTCACTTTTCTTTGTCTGGTCTGGTTCATATTAGTGGTTTGCTAACTTTTCTATGGTTATACCAGAAACTAGGGATTTCTGATCTAACTGCATTTGAGAAGAAACCTGTAAGAATAGAGAAAAGAGACTTAAAATTACATTTAATTATCCTAATTTGTAATTTCTCAGTTTTGAAATCTTTAAAGGGAAACACTGTACATATTGGATCACAGACACTAATGTAATTGAGTCCGAGATGTAGAACTGTAGAACAACAGAGACAAAGCAAGCTGTGACAGTGAACAATTACATAGCCCTTACGGCCTGCCAGGTAACTTCTCAACTCTTCACATATAGCTGATCGCTCATGACAGTCCTTCAGGTTAGGTAAGGTCAGCCTTGTTTTTAGATGAGGAAACTGAGGCAGGGAGCATTAAGTAAGTTGTCAAATCCTCACTCAGTTTTGTAATTATCTGAGCCAAGATGTTATCCCTGGTACTCAGGTTCCAGAGGATCTTAACTGCTCGCCCTGTTGCCTCTACATGGAGGTTCCCATTGGCATCTCTGCTCTGTGAGTGTGTGACCAAGCTCCTGAGTGGTATCACATGCTCTCTGCACACCAGGCCATGTGCTGGCTACACGATCCTGCTTCATTCAACTTCTAGCTCCAGGGTTGGTGTGGCAGCATGAAGAGGATACACGGGGATGCTAGCTTGTGCACTGTGGTCAGACTTTAGCTCCCCTAGTTCTTCCATCCTCTGGGTGGACAGAGCTTGGTCCTTAAGACCATAGTGGTAGGTGGGAGCCTTTTGTCAGTCCTTTTTACCTTCTGTTCTTCATGTTTCGAGGAAGATATCTTTTACCCATTGCTATACAACAACCACTTTAAAATGCAGCTTAAACCAACCACCATTTTGTCAGTTCTGCAGTGCTGGCTTGGGCTCAGCAGGGAAGTTCTTCTGCTGGTCCAGCTGGTGGTCCCTGTGTGATTACATTCACGTGAGCCAGCTAGGAATGACCTTTTCTCTCTTCCATGTTTTCTGGGGTGCTCTCCCTTTCCACAGGGCCTCTTTTCTTTGTTTCTGATTTTGCATTTTGAAACTTCTTAAGCAGCAGCTCAGGGCTCCCAAGAGCACAAGAACAGAAGCTCCCTGGGCCCATAAGCCAGTGCTGGAAGTGGTCCAGGATTACTCATGCTGCATTGTGTTGGTTAAAGCAAGCCACAGACCAGCCCAGATTTAAGGAGTGAGGACTACAAAAGTGGGGAATAGTAGGAGCTCCAGTTCAATTTAACAGATATTCACAACCTCAGGCTCCTATTCCCAGCCTATTTATTCTTATTTTGCTTATAGTTCTAACAGACTCAGTTACTGGTTTCTATTCCTTAAAAAAGGGCAGAAGTACTTTATTTCAAGTTGGGGGAATGAGCTGCTTTCAGGAGACACACCATATCATTTAGAAGAGACAGCTAAAAGTCATAAACAAGGACAGAACTGTGGGGGACTGCATTCACCATGACCTTCTCTGTAGGGTTCACATATTCCTGAACTTTACTGTGCCTAATTCAGTCAGTGTGTTGTCACTGTTGGAGTTTTATGCATGATTTGTCCATTGAGACTATGAATATCTTCTAAATTGATATTGAATATGGACCTCTTTACCAAAGGTCTGGTAATTAATCATAAAACTTCCTGTGCTTTGAAGAAATGATCCTTGGGTTGTTTTTCAAGAAATGGAAATTTATCATTGGGTGAGATTGTTGTATTATTGTGTTGAAAAGGAATAGTCATGTGCTACATATAGTCTCCCCAAATTTATGAGTTGAAGCTGTTACTCTCAGTGTGACTGTATATGGAAGGGGACTGCTAAGGAAATAGTTGATTGAATGGTTTCATAGGGTGAGAACCTGCTCTGAGAGGATTACTGTCCTTGTAGGCAGAGGCTGGAACACTCACTCTGTTTCCGTACACATCCCCACCTCTTTGCTCACAGGAAAG